CAAGAAATATTTCAATTCGTACGAATAGCTTACTCAGAAATTATGTAAAACTGCAGTGCTTTACTTCGCTAATGCATTCTCGTTAGAATTGATGAATTTAACCCTTGACTTTACCTTTTCTATATTTTCGGCTTCGGGTTAAGCGCTGTGATTGCATCCTAATTGACTTAATTACCGAAAATGGCCTTAGACATAAAACTGAACTATCTGATAAAAATTCTATGTAATTATATGCCAGTATTGAAAGAAACAATCAATCTGATAAGAAAAAGCTGCGACTTGTTTTGAAAATGAGGCTTAAAAGGTTACCAGCGAGAATATTCCGTTTGGCATCGGTTGTACCATTATTGGCGACTTTATCGCTTGCGCCGGCAAAACGGAAAAGTACCAAATAAATAAATAAAATAACTGATTTAAAAAAAATGTCTGTAAGCTTTCAGATTTTGCATTACGCCCAACGGGACTTTTTTTAACGTTTTGCGCGTTACCTTTATTTATCAAATATCACGTCCTTTGCACTTAAAGCACAAAATTCAATTCGACAGCAAGATCCCAAAATAAATTTAAAATGAGCATATATTTAGAATTTCCGATACACAATCTCACGCGCTGGGGACAAAAATGTCCCCCCCCCCGTACAGTGTTGCCATTGCTCGGTTTGAAATCGTTAAGTTTATTAATAAAAAATTGGTAAAAGTGTTACAAAATAAAAAATCGATAATAAAACAAATTCCACATTCCAAATTAGGGCTTCCAGATGACAATATTCGGCGGAAGATTACGTTATTCAAAATTGGATGGCTCTAGGTACCGTTGTTTTATCACAATGTGAGAAAAATTTATGCAGATTTTTCAATATTTGATTTCTTTAAATATAACACAGGACGATAACATTTAGTGGCAACTCTGGTGACGAGACAACTTCCGTCCTAAGGTTGATTTACCAGTTAAATGTTGTCCTGCCACATATTTATCCACAATGTCTCGACCCCACGGCACAGGGGCAAACAAGACAGTACCAGTACGGTCCCTGCCTAGCCATACACCGTCCGAGTACTATTTTATTTCTTTTCATATCTGCAAAAGAAACAAGGTTCATTTCATAAATAAGATGGCTACAAATTCCGTAAGTAAAAACGTACTACAGCCGTAAGTAGGAAAACTTAAAAAAAAAAAAAAAAACTACGAATTTTTGAATGAGAAGGAGTGCTAATACTCTACACTCCAAAATGTCATTTAATTTTTGTCCTATCAGATCAGCAAGGCTTAGCAAATGAGCTTCGGATACAATCCTAAAATGTATTTTTAACACCCTGTCAAGTGTAGATACTGTGCTAGTCACAGTCAAGGAAAAGCAGTAATCGTTTCCTGACAAATAATACTTTCACGCGAAAATTTTAGCTTTAGTTTTATTGGTTTAGCTTTTTTAGTTAGTGTCAAAATTTTTAAAAAGGGATTCGAACATCTATTATAGAATTGAAATAAAACTAGCAGAGGAAAATCAAATTGTTGAGTAATTAATTATTAATTAATTAACCAGTATTATTAGTAATTAATTAACCAGTTATTTTATGTTAATTAGCTTTTATGTGTTCTCCGCTTTCCTTTTTTCTGCCAAAATGCCAATGTATACTTCACGCCTATTCAAGTGAGATGGAAAAGATATAGTATTTAAAGCTTCAGATGACAGAAACAGAGCTTGTTCTGCCTGCTGAAGGCCACATTGTTATTTGATTCTCTTGACTGCAGTTTATTTGCGGGGTTTCGTTATTAACTCCATCAGGCTTGCACGCGGATTACTTACTATTTATTGAATTTAAATATGTTACTTTTGATTGACGTCCTAAATGCTGGATGGTTTTGTAAGCAAGAGCAGTGCCTCCTGTTAACTTTTATCTGATAAAAGAGTGTTTTACACCCCTCCAATTGATTTCCAAGACATAGCGATAAGTCGCTTAAGTCTTTGTAGAGTCCTTATCTAGTTTATGTTACAAAACGAGTGAAGCTCTATAAAACCTAGTCTATCAACAACTAGTTACTGGACTAGATTATGTATGACAAAGCACCCATCTTCGTGGGTGATTTTTCAAACTGAAACTGCTTCGTATTCGTGAAATATATGGAAAAAATAATGAAACTGCGCATGCAGCCAAAGCCCATTGTCAAATATTCAGTAATCATATCCACTCGGCTGCCTGCAAGCCAAATAATAATAAAAATAATAAATTAGCGTGAAAACTGCAACCAAGCACCAAACAGTATAACCACGTAAAGAAATACTCTTAAACGTTTAAATAAATTAAAAATTTATATATTTAATAAAAATATTGTTTATTCTAAAACATCGTGTATTATTTTATTGAAATACTGTGTTTTTAGCGTAAAACAACTCAGTAAGGCCAATAAATATTCAAACAATTGATGACACTTCAAACAGACAATTAAGCATGAACTAAAGTACTGCCTGTTAATAAAACGTATGAACCAGCACTATTTTAATCAACTACCGAAAATTTTAGTTTTTTCTGTTTGAAGTTAATATTCACAGAAATTGAATATGAATTCAATATTTTCTCTTTTCAAATGCCCATATTCTTTGATCGAAGGCTTCCTTTGAGAATGGCCGAATCCACCGATCATTTAGCCTTCTCATCATCGAGAAATGTACTGCCTCCCTAGTGCGTTACGGACAGTGGACAGATACTGCACCCGCAAAAAGAAGGCCAAATGCACACTAACCTATACCCACATTTTTGGTCTGGCAGGCAATTTCCGTTAACCACTGTACCGTCTATGGCGACACAAAATTTAATCTAAATTTAGATTTTTGGTTGAGTAGAAGAGTTCGACATGAAGTGTGTGTGTGTGTTATTATGGCTATCTGCCTAAGAGGAGGGATGCCTTCGTGGAGGACTTTCTAAGGGAAACTGGCTCGTATACACGTTACACATGGGGAAACCACGAAAACACCATGGCAGCACCCGTTCGCGGGATTCGAACCTCGGACCGAACTACCAGCGTTCAGCGACTTTACCGCTCGGCCGCTGGTGGACCCAGTTCGACATGAAGAGTTGACAGCAGGTTGTGCAATGCTAATAAATTTGTCTAGTTTTTTATTAGGATCCTTACTTATTTAAGCATCAGTTTTTTTTTTTTTTTTTTTTTTCTTTTTCGTCTCACTCCCCCCTTTTTTTTTAGCTTTCAATACCTTTCGTAGAATTCCCTTTTTTAATTGAAGTAAATATTTATTATCAGAATATCAGAATAAATCTCTGATTTACTTTCTTTATTTTTTTTTTTTTTTTTTTTTTATTTTTTTTTTTTTTCATGTACTTTGCAGGAAAAAAAAAGGGGAGGGGACAGTTCGATATCTCCCGTTCTACTGGGCACATTGACGAAATTCAAATTGTGTTTTTCATGTCTGGAAAGCGTGATTTAAGATATATATATTAGATTTATATGTAGCATTCTTCGCATTATTTTCAGTTGCGCCAAGAATAATTCACTTGGCGAACTTTTTAATATTTATGGCAATCTATTTTCTTTCGCCTTTTTGCATTGTGCATGAGGGGGGGAAAAGTCACATTGTTCCTACTTTCAACTAATTTTAACAAAGTGCCTAAAACACATTTGATGTTTATATTCGCTTTCAACAAATATGAAAATTTCAAAACGGGCCAATATTACGTACACGTACATTATTATTAAAGACGTATTCACTGACACTTCGGAAATTTTGATAAAAAAATCATTTTTTGCAGGTAGCTGAAATACTCTTCTTTAAGATGATGGTAAAAAATTTTATAAATTATACATAACTTTTTTTGAAATATTTATAAAATAAAATTACACATTTTAAATAATTAATAAAAAATGGGTGAATTTTATTTGGAATGAAACTAAATTTTGAAATGAAAGGAAGAATCAAATAAGTTTAATAAAAAAATCTGATGTTACACACAGATTCCTTGTAAGGATATTAAATTATAAGCATTTTTTCTTGCTATCATTTAAACTTATTGAATTAAACCTACTTCGCGCAACCGCAATAAACTACAAAGATAATGCATTTTTTAAATCGCTAGTATTGCTTACCATACGACACTCTGGCGCTAAATTCACTTAACGTATTATATTCGTTCATATAAATCATAATGCACAAATTATTCATTTAAAGAATTATCTATCGTTGCCACATGTTCTATTCAAACTATAATCAAGCTAGAACTATGTATAAAAGAATAAGCAACAAAACAAAAAAGAAACAGTTTTTCACAGACGATTGAGTATTTTCTTCATTCAATTCAGTTCTCACTTCGCGAGAAGCAAAATACATAAAAACTCAAAATATCTATTATTAAAAATACGAAGTAAATCTTAAACACTTATTTTCCTCGAAAAAATTCCAGAAAGGATTAAGCATGATTTAATTGGCAATATAAATAAAGCGTTTTATCTTTGTTGTTGCGAAGCTAAGTTTCTCTAGATTGTCAACAAATCCACTAGTCTGCTGTTTCAAATGTAAACAAGCAATGGCCGCCGCGATTACAACACTTCATTTTTACTTCGTACAAGGAAGTAAAAAGAGAAATTAATATATATATATATCAAATTCAATTAACATTGAGGAGCTTAAATTTTGAGAGTTAATTTTTTTAAAAACTACTCGTGCGACTTTTACAAAACTTGGCTTTTTGGCATAATTGAGTCGTAGAATCGAAATATGGAAAAAACATTTGCATGCTATTTCAGAATAAGTCCAATTTTGAGTCAAAATGCCTATATTAGAACGGTGCTATATATAAATCTAATACATATCCTATGAAAAACGCGAGTTGAATTTCGTCAGTCGGCCCAGTAGAACGGGACATGTAAAACTGTTTTTTTTCCCCGCAGTGTATATGCCGCTTTTCAAGAATCTCGAATGAATGCTTGTTTCAGATGAACATATATAAAAATGAATGTTCTATGAACGTTTGTTTTAAAAATGCTATACTTGCCATTATTCAAGCGGGAATCTTCTGTGCATATCTCTTCCACCAATTTGATTTTGCCACTAATTACAGTATCGAACAGCCGTTGTTGACCGAGAGTTACACATTGTGAGATCAAATTTTCAGCGCATGTAATTGCTTCTTTGTTCGCTCTGAAAAAGGAAAATAAATAACTGTTAATAATTGCAACAAACATATATATGCAAATAGAAACTTTCAGTCTAAAATCCTTAGATTCTAGTCTAGCACCTCAAAGATAGTTTGCAATTAATGTTTACATAAATAAATAAATAAATAAAAGTAAAAAAAAAATAATAATAATAAAATTTAAAAAACAAACAAAAAACCCCCCCCCCAAAAAAAAAAAAATCTGAAAGGTTTCAGATTTTAAATTACGTCCAAAGGGGTGTCTTTTTAACGTTTTGTGTGTTACCTTCATTTATTAGATATTATGTTCTTAGCACTTAAACCATAAAATTCAGTTCAGTAGCAATGTCGCAAAATAATTTTAAAATAAGCATATCTTTACAATTTACGATACACAGTTCCGCGCCTGCAGGAGATAAGACAGGATTTTTCCCCCGCCGTAGAGTGTTGCCATTGCTCGCTTTTATATCGATGAGTTTGTTAATCAAAAATTCGTTAAAGTTTTACAAAATAAGAAATCAATAATAAAACAAATTCCAAAATTCAAATTTGGTCTTCCACATGCCCATATTCGTAGGAGGATTACGTCATTCAAAATTCGATGCTGCTATGTACCGTTGTTTTATCACAATGCGAGAAATAGACATACATTTATGCAGATTTTTCATTATTTTATTTCTTCAAATATAATGCAAGACTCGAACATTTGGTGGCAACAGTTGGAAAAGTGAAACGGACATTTATAGTGATTCAATGGAAAATCGCAAAACGAAAACAATAGTCCTTCAGGGACAAAGCCCCTTTGGACTAAAAAAAGATATACTAACAATTATACAAATATTTAACATTTTAAAATAAAAGTAATTTAGATTATTTTCTACTATTTGTATATTACTCGTATTTTAAACTTATAAAAATATTTTTTTTATTGATGAATAAAATTTAAATTTGATTCAAAAAGAATTTCTGAAAACATTTGGCATTTGTTTCTGCGTTTTATTTTTGAGTATAAAATGGCATTAAGAGAAAAATTAGCAAAAATATTCAGTGCATGTTGCCATTTGAACCATTTGAAAGAAATGCAATAGAAGCCTCTGATTAAAATCACTTCCGTTCCAAGTATATTTGAGTTTATTAAGCGACTGAGTTTAATAGACGGCTATTTGTATACTCTAAATTGGGATATCAATTTTAAATTCACCTTGAGAAATAATAACTGTCAACTAATCCAATAATTAATCCTATAATAATCACAGAATATTAATGCTAAATTAAATTATTTATACAGTTTTGTTTATAATTACGCATATGATAGAATTTTTAACTTTACAAACAATTGTTTTATATCCGCTTCGTATTGTTCTTCAACAGTTTTTCAATTGTATTCGCAATTTCGTAAAACTGCCGGTAAACTTTTTGATTAACTCCTTTCATGTCAATTGTTTCTCTCCTTTCCAATCAAAAGTTTTTCTTAAAATTTGCAGTGTTTTCTTGAGTTCTGTGGATGTTGACACCGGTGGTCATCACTTTATTCTGTGTCATTTTCATTGTCAGTTTCTGCAATTCTTTTAACACGTTCTATAATATCATTATCAGTTTTATGCAAGTTTTTTTTAATGTTGTTGTCAGTTTGCATGCATTCTTAAAATAAATCTTCATAGCTTCTCTCACTGGAATTTGAAATATTAGCTATACAGATAGCAGAAAAATAAACTCATTAGTATGACCAATCGATTAATTAAGCATCAATTAGTTAAACATCTATGCCTAAACTCAAGAGATGTGCGGATTCTGTGGGCATAATGTAGATCTTATTTGAAATCATAGACGAAATTTGTGAGTACTCGGATTAAGTATTAAATTTCAAAATTTTGCTTAGCTATTCCATTTTGCACCTCTTAATTAGACGACTTCTTAACGTTCTTATTACTTAACTTCCACAACTATTTTTCCCCATTCGACCAGCGGGCGAGCGGGAAAGTCGCTGAACACTGGTAGTTCGGTCCGACATTCGAATCCCGTGAACGGGCAGACTGAACGGGCAGACTGCATGGGCGTTTTCGTGGTTTTCCCCATGTGTAACGTGTATACGAGCCAGTTTCCTTTAGAAAGTCCTCCACGAAGGCATCCCTTTCCTTAGGCAGATAGACCTCGAGATTTTGCGCTAATCTCATACCCAAACCATCCTTTTCTTCATTCATTCAGCTACCCAATTCAAAACAGTACGATTTTCAGAAAAGAGTTTCACCGCCCACCCATCAATGCCTGCATTATTTTATCATTCTTCTTACCTCTAGCCAACAGCTAAACGCCTGACTTTCACCTGACCTACCAGTAACCTTACTAGCTGAACTTGATTGCTGCTATCCTTTTTTACCCACAGGGAAAATGCTTTCGACTTCTCCGTTTCATTTGTGCCAGCCATAATAAAATGTATTGTTAATTCCTTCACGTTGACCTACACAGGATGAGGCGACTGCCTAGGATCCTGTGACAAGTGACCCCGTGCACCAAACACCTCCTGTACCTTAGGAAATGCATAGGTGCCGAGCTTGCTTCGACTTGTACCTATCATACATCTTATCTGAAGCCTACATGCGAAGACGCTAGGTCATTTTCCATCTCCAACAGGTGTGATTTAGTGTGATTTTAAAATCTGAAAATTTTCAAACATTTTAAAGACTTTTTTTATTGTGAAAAGATATTTTGGAAAAGCATGAAACTATATACTTCTCTAGAAAAACGGCTGTTTTACATTTGTTTGCCTTCTTGATTCTTAACTTATGATTTTGGTTTTAACGAGAATTCTGAAGTATAAATTGCAGAACTTCTCTCAATTAACATTGTTTGAGATTTTTGAAAATTGGTACAAATAAAAGCTTTCTTTGATTTTTTAAGTGTAAGGATCTTAAGTTTTACTAACGTTTATTTTATTTTAAATCTTTACTATCACTTCTTATTTTCTACTTCCGGCCAGAATTATAAGCGTTAAGGTTTTTATGCAAAGTTTGTCTGGCGAACGCCAAGTATTTAAGTTGTGGCTTTTTGCCAAGCGAGAGAGAGGAAGCAGTGAGTCGAAGCAGGCCGCTTACCTTAGAAGTTACGCAGTTGCTGGTTTGCCTTCCAGGCCAGAGGTTTTAATCCTCTTGATAAATTTTAAACGTATTGTAGTGTTCACAGTTCTCTGTACTACATACGCTTCCTGTTAATATAAGGCCAATCTTCCACGTTTATTATTCTAAAGTTAAATTAGAGTTTAGTTTTATTTTTATACTTTTACGTTTTGACCCCAAGTAGCGGGTCGGTGTATTCCGAAGTACGGAAGTTATTGTAAATAGAGAAAATAAAGGGTTTTGTATACCCTTCTTGTGTATCCTGTCTACTTCCCACAGTTATTGAACATAGCTTTAGTAAGCTCTCTGTTCCGAGTCAGGTCCTTGCATGTTCCCGAAGAAGGTAAGAAGGAACATTGAACCCTGATAGTGGCGCCCGAACGAAGAATAACCATGGCCGAGTTTCAAGAAGAACCTGTGCTGCCTGCAGAAGCGAAACGGCTCAGAATCCAGAAATGCCAGCTGCCGCCCTGGAAGGATTTGGTTACATCGTCCAGACCATGCGCGCTTCGATGAAACCAGAAGCAACATTTAATGGAAACTCACCGGTAACCAGTTTTTTGGAAAAATTGGATGACCACTTCATGCTCTACCCCGTGCACGAGTTTCAAAAAGTTACCTTAGCTACCAGCGCTTTGAGGGGCCAAGCGCTTAACTGGTTCAAATGTATAGGCAGAAGTCTCTTGGGTCAAGCAGGGAAGTCCCACCTATACTTACGAAAATTTCAAGACTGCCCTACTAAAAGCCTTCCCTGTTGTAAGGGATCGTGCGAAATTAGAAACGGAACTTTTCAGTATATATCAACAAAGAATCGAAAATCCTCTCAAGCTTTATTTTAAGAAAAATTCACGTCTTCAAACTCTTGTATGGAAACCGTCCGGATCCTGAAATAATTCAAGTGATTTTGCCGAGGTTACTGCCCCCAAGTGCAAGACTTTATTGAATTAAGAAATCCGACTACACTGGAAAAGTTATTTGAGCTAGCAATCCAGTTTGAAAGTAGAAGAACGGCGGACGTCGAAAGAAGACGCCAATATCAACAGCGAAACCAATTTGGTGCGCCAAGACTACAGCAAACTCAAGCACACGGCTACGGAGGCAAAGCGAATCAGTGGGCAAGGAAACCCGAGCATTCAAAAACAGCCGGCGAACGTCGACAGTTCAATAGCAACCCAGGAAAAAAGTCTCAAGGCCAGTGGAAAAAGAAGGAAAGCACGGAAATGAAAAATATTTAAACTAAAACGGATTTCTGCTGACGGGAGGGGGTGCGGAAATCCGAAGGCCACGAAAAAACCCCTCTTCCTACAAGTTAAATACAGTAATGGTGAAAAATTTGACTCTTCCGAAGATTGAAGTGTTGGTGAATAATATCCCAGCCACCGCACTCCTGGATACAGGCGCGCAGTGTTCCTGTGTGGCAGAAGATTTTTTTAGGAAGTATTTTCGCAAAATACCGCATATATAATTCGGATAATACGACAGTGTTAGCGGCGCAAGGAGAAAAAATGTAAGTGCATAGGTAAAGTACCGTTTGTATATCCGTATCAAGGACGAACAAGTAAAGGTGATGTTTTTTATAGTAAAGAATCTGCAAGCACATATTAATCTTAGGAATAGATTTTCTTTCAGAGGCACAAGCAACGCTGGATTTTAATGAAGCGTCCCTTAAGCTGACAATGAAACCAGTTCGTGCAGAGAAAAGGCTGAACCGCCGATGTTAAAACTTGACCACCTGCCTAATGACGAGCAAGGAAGAATCCGACAAGTGGTAAGTGAATTTGCTTCGTTATTTAGTGATATTCCAGGATTTACTCAGGTTACTAACCATAGTATTGACACCGGAGATGCAATGCCAGTTCGCCACAAAAACCATACCGGTATGATAAGAATAA